CTTATTTTTTATAGTATTTATATATTATAAGTAATAGTATAACTTTTATTACTTTTATATAACTATAATGACGATAAAGTTTCACTATGCAATTTTTTTAGTGATTTAATTAGTAATTAATTTGTATAATTCATGACTTAATAATAATTAATTTTTATAATTTTTACCACTCCACTATCTTACATATATATGGATATAAAGGGCTTATTATTGTATAAAATAGGATGAAAAAATTAAAAAAAAAAAAAAAAAAGAAGCTCTTAATTATGGTCATTTCATCTCCTTTTTATTTCACATTCTTCTTTTATTTGTTTTCTTTATTTTACATTAGAAAGTCAATAGATATGAAATTCGTAAACATAAATTGATAATCATAATGACATCTCCTCATTGTCATGCTGATTGGTTCATCCCTCACATGGTTCAATGGCTACATAGTATACGTCCCTCTCGGTGTCAGCCTGTCATAGTTTCCGTCAAACAAATAGCCTAAAACGACGTCGTTGTGACATTCCCACCCAACCACCAATATGGAACCTAATTATCTGAACTTATTCATTTATTTATTGGAACGTTTTTAAAAATCAAAACCCACAATTGAAATCAGCCCACTACTCCCTGCTTCTCCTCATCTTGTCGGATTGTTAACCGTTCCTCCGATTGGCTGCGCCTTCTCTGCGTTTCGCTCCTCTGTCCCCTCAATATTCCTCCTGTTTTCCTTCCGCTTCCAACGTTCCTCTCCCGTTTTCACGTCGGAGGCTCCGGAATTCTCTTCTCGATCTGTCCGTCTCCGGTGAGTCCATCGCTTCACCCGCTAGATCTGTTTTTGTGCTGTGTTTTTGTTTCTATAGAACGATCTGATGTATGTTTGGTTTTTTGTTTGGATCTTGTAGGTGAGACTGAGAGGGAAGAGAGGGAATGGCGCATAGAGTAGATCATGAGTACGATTATCTGTTCAAGATCGTCTTGATCGGTGACTCTGGAGTTGGCAAATCCAATATCCTGTCGAGGTTCACCAGAAACGAGTTCTGCTTGGAGTCGAAATCCACCATCGGCGTCGAGTTCGCTACCAGAACTCTTCAGGTTCCATCTATGGATTTGATTCTCCATCTTTATCAGTTTCCTAGTTGTCTGTGACTGATGATTATCTTCTGTTAAAATTGGTGATTCTGGAAGTTGATGCATTTTTTGTTTATGCGGAATTTCCATTCATCTGTTGAAATTTGTTTTTATGCCTCTGAACTGTTGCTAATTTCGGCTTTCTCTGGATGGATTTCTTGAGAAACATTAAGCAATCAAGGTGGCTTTTGAGTAATTTTAATAAATGACAAATGAACATCCTTCAATTTTATTGTCAGAAGAGGTGGTTTATTCAACATAAATGCCAATTTGTACAATTGTAAGAGAAGGTATGCAGTTTTTTTATGGAAAAACCATATCTTAAGCCCTGGACTAACCTCAGATTCGCTATTGAGGCCCCAAACTTTAATTCCCTAGACTCCACGGTGTGACTAATTTATCCCTTAACTCTTTAACTACTGTAGGAATAAGAATAAGGGCTAAATTGCCGTAAGAATGAGGGCTAAATTGCTCAGATTGTGGAGTCTGAGAGCTTATATGCATCAAATTAAGTTTGGGGGCTCAATAGTGAATCTGGGGTTTGTTCAGGGGCTTAACATAAGGTTTTGTCCTTTCTTCTTGTACACTGATTTTATGCAATAATCAAGTCAGGCGTGCCAAAGCCATGTTTAGTGGCGTGGATTTGTCACGTTCAATGTCATTGCTTCATGACATAATTTACCTGCTTTGAACAGGAGAAGTTCTTTTTTTTTTCCCATGTGTTGTGGAACTGTGGAATGAGATAGGAAATAGGATAAATGTAACCACGAAATAAAAATAAAGTGGCCTACATGATTTTTGAGGTAGTTGGAGAAACAACTGTCTCCGTCTTATTGATGGAATGAATTAAAGAGAATTTTTTGGGCAGTAACATAATAGAAAATGAAAATTTTTTCCCTTTATTTTCAGAGAAATATAAATCAAGCTGTTCATATGCAGCCCTTCCCTCATTAAACTTGGTAGGTTCCTTGCAGTTGTTTATGGCTTTGTGATATAATTGAGTTATGAGTCTGGTGGAAAGTTGATGGTGTGCTGCAGCTACCATATTATATCTCAAACCCTTTTGTTTTTAATTCTTGGTCACACTAATCTTGGTGATGCTTTTTCTCTTCATCATCATCATCATCTTTTGTTCTAATTAAATTTAGACGCAAGTTAATATCATATGTTCTAATGGTACAGGTAGAAGGGAAGACAGTTAAGGCACAGATTTGGGATACAGCTGGCCAAGAGAGATACCGAGCAATCACCAGTGCTTACTATAGAGGGGCTGTTGGTGCTCTCCTTGTCTACGACATTACCAAGAGGCAGACCTTTGACAATGTCCAAAGATGGCTTCGTGAATTGAGGGATCATGCTGATTCTAACATTGTCATCATGATGGCTGGAAATAAATCTGACTTGAATCATCTCAGAGCTGTTACAGAGCAGGATGGTCAAGCTCTGGCTGAGCGTGAAGGCCTTTCATTTCTTGAGACATCAGCACTGGAAGCTACAAATGTAGAGAAGGCATTCCAAACTATTTTGAATGAGATCTACCATATAGTAAGCAAAAAAGCGTTGGCAGCTCAGGAAGCAGCTGCTACTACCACGCTTCCTGGCCAAAGAACAACCATCAATGTTGCTGATAGTGCTGGGACCATCAAGAAAGGATGTTGCTCCACCTAAGGTGAATGGTTTTGTATCAGGATGGAAACATATTTGCTAGCAAGTGGGCCTTCATCTTTTTTCCTTTTTTGTTTTTTGTTTTTTCTTGTCTTCATTTATCTTTTATCTTTTACAAAATTTTCTTAAGAGAGAGACAATGTATTATACTTATTTTAAGTGAGTTGTGACAAGAAAAGCTTGTGATACATTCCAAAAAAGAAAAGCTTGTGACATTTCTGGATCATATTTTAGCACGATGGGAATACCTTTCTAGATCTTTGTCATTTAGAATGGTGAGGCACGTTTAGTGCAGAGCCGAGCTTCCACGTCTCGACTTTAGCAACACATTTTGATAAAGCAACAGGGAGACTAAATGGATTCACAAGCATGAACATGTTTCATTTATGATATTCTATGTTTTTATTCTCAGTAAATGCAGGAAAATAAAATCTAAACAGAGATCAGGCACAAGGCTTGTTAAGAAACCTGTACTTTGCTATTCATTACTCACTCAATCTGTATGGTAATATGATTAAAATTGTATGCCTTTTCACAGTAATCCCTAATCTGGCAAAGTAATACACCAGGGCTGACTCCAGGCTCTGCTACTACATGACATGACAATATACTTTTCCCTACTGTTATGGACCAAATATGAAGGTCATGAACGTCTTGGACTCCCTTGATCTGCTTTATACTGCTTTCCAGCTTATCAACACTAATATCTGCTGGTGTCCTCTCCATCAAAATACCAAATACCTTTCTAAGCATTGGTACGGTAGGAAACAGAGCAAATGTAGAGAAGACAAGGGTGCAGAGAAGATCAACCAGCAACCAGTTTGGTTTTGCCCATATAATGGCTCCAGCAATCATCACCCCAATAGACTGAATTAGATCAGCCATGACATGGAGATAAGCCCCCTGAAGATTTATGTTCATTACCTTGGTCTCTACCTTAGAACTTGACACCAGACTAGCCTCTTCATCTTCAGTTGTTGTACACAAATGCCCTCCCTCAACGTGACCATAGTCTTTGTCCCCACAACCATGGTGAGTGTGATCATGACCCAGCCACATGACCATGACTAAGTTGATAAAAAATCCAAATGCAGCAATAGCAAACATCAGTGTCCCATTCACTGTTGCATTTTTGTGAAGCATTCTGTCAAGTGCTTCATAAATTAGGAGGGCAGATATCAACCATATGAGCTGCACGGATAGAAGGGCACCAAGAACCTCAAGACGACCATATCCAAAAGATTGGTTTGATGTTGCCTCCCAAGCTGAAGCCCAGACCGTGAAGAGAGAGATTGAGAATCCAGCAACATCAGTAAGCAAGTGAGCTGCATCCGTGATAACTGCAAGGCTGTTGGCTTTCACTCCACCAACAACCTCTACAACCATAACTATAACATAGAAGCTTATGAGTCCACAAAGTTTGGCTGCCGACTTGGATCGTTGTTTTGACTCCAAGTTACAGTTTTCTTGGTTGGAAAAGACACAAGACGAGCATGAAAATAACTTATTTGGTGTTGCAATGGCATTATTTCCATCAGGGACTGTTGCCATCTCTATATCCTCCTTATCCTCTGATCTCAGAACTGAGACTTCCTCCCTTTCCATCTGCCTCAACATCAAAGTCAATTAAGCCAAAGATCAGAATAAAAGTTCAAAAAGGATGATACATTTTGGCTTCAAACTCATAAAATTCCAATTGAAAATGGGAAAGTAGCAGGAGGACAAAAGATTAGTTTTTCTTTTACCTAAGCATTTTCCTGCTAATACAAAATAACCTGTCACAAACTGAAACATTCTTAGTTACGTATATCTATTGAAAAGAATTATTCCACCTAAAAGGAATCACTGAACAAAATTGCCAATATACCTACCCTGCCGTGGGAAGAACTATTCTACCTCTAGAACCGAGCCAAATAACATCTTCCTTCAATTCAAACGGAATCCTAGAGGATTCTCTTCTTTTTGTACAACTTCTATGTAATAACAAAATCAAGTGTTAAAATTGGGTCTATTGCAGTTTCTCTTCTTCTGCAACCATGCATGCCTATGAGCATCATTGTCCTCAACTGCATTCCTTAAGCCAGGTGTATTGACTATGCTACATCCTCTACCATATGCATATTTTTACCTCAAAACAATTGTTCAACATTTTTTCAGTTCCAAGAAAATGAAAAATGTATTCCATCAACCTCTAAGGCAAACTACAGCATTCTATAGAACCAAAAAAAGGGGGCAAAATCTCTTGGTACAAATAAAGGAAATCCTAAGTGTACAAAAATATAGAGCAGGTAAAGGTCACCATAACAAAGGGAAGCTTGTAATTCAAACTCCATGAAATTAGCTTTTTTTTTCAGAATTCAAATCCACATTTTTTTGCAATAAATCAGATACCCATATCAAGGAATTTCCGCTAGGTTAAGAAATCCAAATACCCAGAAGGATTGCAGGTACAAAAGACGCCAACAAACATACCTGGACCAGAGTAGAAAAAAAAGGAGAGAACTTTGAATCTTATTTCTCAAATCTCAATATCATCGGAATAGAGATGGTTTTACATTGAATCTTAAACGACGCAGATATGGAGATGAAGAAAAAAAAAGGAAAATAGTCATTTAATGACTTTCCATGGACACTTTCCCCTTGATTTGGATCTTCTTCCCACTCCTTCGTTTCTCTTTTGGAATGATAGTTTTATTTTATTTTATTTTATTTTTTTAATTCAAACTAAGTTTTGAGAAACTTTTTTATTTTTACTTATTTTATTCTAAAAAAATAGAAATAAAAGAAATAATAAAATGAATAATTAAAATTAAATAATAATAATAATAAAATTAAAGTAAAAAAATATTTGTATTTGACTATTGATTCTAAATAAATTTTAAATAAAAAAACATTTACCATTTTGATATTGATAAAGTATT